GAATAATACTCAGAGACAAAAGCAGATTCAGAAACGTAAGGATTTGGAAGATGAGATTAAATTAAAAGAAAAAATTTTGATTTCAAATCCTACAGATGAAAAGGTTAAAGAATCTATAAAATTGCTTAAATCACAATTTAATATGTTGATGGCTGATCAAACTGCAACTAACCTACTGTATATGAGACAAAATACATTTTGTAATGCTAATAAACCAGGGAGATGGTTGGCTTACCAACTCAGAAAGCAACAGAGACAGAGAATTATAGATAAAATAAATTATAGTGGTAAATTGGTATATCAGAAGGAGTTGATTAAGAAATCTTTTTTAGATTATTATCAAAAATTATATAAGAGTACTAAAATACAGGTTTCAGATATAGATAATTACTTAAATGAAGCCAACTTCCCTAAATTAACAGAAGATCAGAAACAAGAAATTAACGGTTTAATTACTAGTGAGGAAATTAAGACAGTGATTAAAGAATTAAAATTAGGTAAAGCACCGGGTACGGATGGTTTGACATCTATTTATTATAAAACTTTGGTACAAGAGATGATTCAACCTTTAAGACAGCTTTTTAATGATATATTACAGGGTTTAGAGATTCCCCCGTCATGGGGCAGAGCCTTTATATCCTTAATTCCAAAAGAAGATCAAGATCTTACTTTACCAAAGAATTATAGACCTATATCTCTCTTAAATGTAGATTATAAGATTTTTGCAAAAATATTAGCTAATAGGCTTATGAGGGTTTTGTGTCAGATTATACATAAGGATCAAACGGGTTTTATAACTGGAAGGTATATGAAGAATAATGTCAGACAAATTATTAACTTATTAGAATATCTAGATAAAAATAATCAAGTCTCTGCAGGATTGATATTTCTAGATGCTGAGAAAGCTTTTGACCAATTGAATTGGCAATTTATGTTAAGACTAATTGATAAAATGAACTTTGGAGAAAAATTTTTACAAGCTCTTGGTGTTATTTATCAAAAACAAACGGCACAACTTATAGTTAATGGAGGTTTGTCAGAGGTCTTTACAATAGAAAAGGGGACTAGACAGGGATGTCCATTGTCACCTTTGCTGTTTGTTTTAACTTTGGAAATATTGCTGATTAAAATTCGAGAATCACAGCAAATAAAAGGAATAGAAGTTAATAAAAAAGAATATAAACTAAGAGCTTTTGCAGATGACTTGGTGGTTACCCTGTCCCAACCTACTCACTCTGTAGTAGAGCTATTACAATTGATATACCAATATGGACGGGTTTCGGGTTTTAAAATTAATAACAATAAGACCAAAATATTACCCAAAAATATGACTAATATGGATAAGCAGACTTTGGTTAATTTGACAGATTTTGAGGTCGTTGATAAGGTAAAATATCTGGGGGTTACTTTATCTGTCTCTAATGTAAAATTGTATAAAAATAATTATGAAAGGTTGTGGGTCAGGATACAAAGAGACTTGAAAAATTGGGAGAAGTTGCAATTATCTCTTTTGGGAAGAATTGCGGCGATTAAAATGAATGTCCTGCCTAAGTTCCTTTTCTTATTTCAAATGATACCTATTTTAAAGAATGAGGTCAATTTAAATGAATGGCAGAAAGGTATCAATAAATGTATTTGGGCAGGGAAAAAACCAAGAGTAAAGCTTAAAATTATACAAGACATTCGTGAGAGAGGTGGACTCAAGGTACCGAATTTGAAATTGTATTATGATGCTGTGGTCTTAACATTAATTAGTGATTGGGTTAATTTAACAAATGTAGAAATACTCCTCTTGGAGGGTTGGGATTTACTTTTTGGATGGCATGCCTATTTAATTTTTAATAAAAAAGTTGACCGGGTTTTTAAATCTCATATTATAAGGATTTCTTTACTGCGGGTTTGGAGGAAATATCACAGAAGTGATTCTAAAATACCATTATGGGCTATACCTTGGCATGCGATAGAGGGGATAAGGAGAGGAGTCAAGATGGATAGTGTTTCTTATGCACAATTGCTTAGATGGGATGGTAAAATTTGGCAGTTAAAATCTTTGGAAGATTTAGCACAAGAAAATATTATATATTCATGGTTTCAGTACAGACAAATAGCGGACAGATGGAAGATAGATCGTAATGTGGGCTTGCTTAGAGAAGATGAAAATTTTGTTAAACAAGTAAAAGATCAAAGACGAACTCATATTAAGAGAATTTATGGGTTGCTAGTAGAATTGGACTCAGAACCAGAATTAATTAAAGAATGTATGATTAAATGGGCACAAAATTTTGGTGAACCAGTTCTACTAGATACCTGGGAAATTATCTGGGTGAGAAATGTTAAATTTACACAAGCCCAGAACTTAAGGGAGAACTTTTATAAAATGTTTTATAGATGGCACCTTGATCCACAAAAAATGTCTCGTATGTATCCTGACTTACAGCCCAAATGTTGGAGATGTGGTTGTCTGGACGCTACTTATTACCATATTTGGTGGTCGTGTAAAAATATAAAAGCCTTTTGGATTAAGATATGGTGGAATATTCAAATAATTTTTAGAAGGAGGGTAAAATTTACCCCACAATTGTTTTTGCTAGGTATTGTTACTGATTGTGATACTAAGGAGGTTGTATTGATGTTAAATTTAATTACAGCCGCAAGGTTGTTAGTAGGGCAATATTGGAAGAAGGAATCTTTGCCTACTTTGCAAGAGTGGTTTTCTAAAGTATCCTATCTGGCGGAAATGGCAAAGATTTCGGCTTTTTTAAAGGACCAATCGCAAGAGAAGTTCTTTGTGGTATGGGAAAAATGGGTAGATTTTATACAACATAAGTTGGATATAAAAAAATATTATTTAGTTTTTCAATAACTCATATCTAAATTTTAACATTTTATAGATTGTATTATTTTTTCCTTCTCTTTATATTTTTTATTATTATTTTATTTTCTTATATTTTCTTTCTTCTTTCTTTCTCTTTATTTTTTTTTCTTTTTAAGTATTTTTTTCCTTTCTTTAATATTTATGTTTTTATATATATATATATTATTGTTAATTATTTTATTAGTTGTTTAAGTAATGTATTTAGACTTATCTATGGTTTATACTTTTTTTCTAAGAATTCAAGAAACTTTAATTAAGCCTATATTCAGCTCTGGGAAGGCTGAGGGAGGGAATGGGAGGGTTGGGGTGGGTTGGGGAGGGTTGTTTTTCTTGTAAAAATTTTCAATTAAAAAAAAAAAATGCTCCAAGAAATCTGCAGGGGGAAGTTGCCAGGAGTCAAAATTGACTTGAAGACACACTGTTCTTTGTTGTTGCTGTGGTACTGAACATAAAAGAGCTGACTGACACACTGGCAGCAATCTGACTCCATATTTGCAGCTAGCCTCCTTGTTTTAACAGCACACATACACCCCTATTGTCTGCACTTAGGATAGATTGCTTCCCTCCTTCGAATGCCATTGACTTCATTAGAATAGCCTCTTCCTAATTCTTGCCTTTCAGAGGCATCAGACTAATGTAAAAACACCCTTCAATTGAGCTCTGCACCTGGTGACTGCATCTCTGCAGTTTTCTTGGCAGGTTTCAGAAAGTGATTTGCCACTGTGAGTTCTCAGTCTTGGCAACAGTCCTGGAGTTTCCAGGTAATCACCCAAGTATTAGCTAGAGTTGACCCTACTTAGCTTCCAGGATCAGCCTTGTTTGCTTAGATACTATGGCAGCAGTCTTCAAACTTGGCCCTTTTATGATTTGTGGACTTCAACTCCCAGAATTCCTCAGCCAGCATGTCTGTCTGAGGAATTCTGGGAGTTGAAGTCCACAAGTCATAAAAGGACCAAGTTTGAAGACCCCTGTACTATGGTAATTGTAACAGCAAGATGGAGGAAGCTGTATTAAAGTAATACTAAACCAAGAATTATATTTGGTCCTATGGCTTCTACTTCTCACTTATATTAATAAAGCCACCACCCCAATTTGCACTCTTGTTATCAATTCTTCATTTGGGATTAATTCTTTCAGGTAACAGAAGTAGATTTAACATACAGGTAGACTGCCTCATACAGCAACAGTTGTAAAAGTAACTCTGTTACCTTTTCTTGCATACATAACCTTCACTGGTCTGTAAAGCAAAGGAAAGCTGAAGTAAGATTGTAAACACAGTTGTGGAATCATGTAGCAACTACTTTACTTAACAAATGAGTCTCGACTGGGGTTGCTAAATGAGCTTATCTATCTATCTATCTATCTATCTATCTATCTATCTATCTATCTATCTATCTATCTATCTATCTATCTATCTATCTATTTCCATCCATCACCCATCCATACATCCATCCACCCATCCATCCATCTTCCATCTAACTTGTCACAATTATGTAAGTCTATCATAATAGAAACCTGGTTTGGGTGAGGTTTTTTCCACGTTTGTGATTTTATTTATTTATTTATTTATTTATTTATTTATTTATTTATTTATTTATTTATTATTTAAAAGAAAAACAAGGACAACTGGATCAAGAATAGACTGATCTGTTTCATCTCAACATATAGCTGCTGTACCAGAATGTGCACTTTCTACGTTTGAAGGAATAATTTAGGCATCCTTTTGTCTTTCAAGGAAGATTTGCAAAATGCAGAGGATTCTGTTAAAGATCCTAGGATACATGTTCACGGTAGGCTAAAGAATGAATTGAGAATCTTCTCCAGGATATACCCAATTTCCCAACAGTGTACAGAGGTTTAGCTATTTTTCAGAGCATCATTGCTGTTCCTTTCTTTGAAGAACATCTCACTAACATTCCTAGGAGCTTAATCTGAAACATCACCCCTCCATCACAAAATTCTTATCTTCCATCAGTCTTATAGGACAAGATGCAGACATCTTTAGACTCTTTGTCCACTTTAATTCTCTACTGCCAAAGAAGGCAAGTCCAGAAATCTTGAAAAAAGAGCGGGAGGTAGAAATAAAAAAAATCAAAAAGAATATAAGAAATGGACTAATTTTTACCAGTGACTTCATCCAGACTCTCTGTTGTGAGATGATCATTCTGATTCACCCATTCTCCATTGCACTTGAAGTAGATCTGAGTGGCTGGGTTGGCTCTGCAGGTCAGCTCCACGGGCTTGTTCTTCACTATGTAGGCATCTTGTGGTTCTAAGAGGAAATTGGGAAGGGACTCTGCAGGTGCTGATGGGAAGGAATCTGGCAGTACATCTCCATACTCAATCCCTGTAAGAAAAGGGGAAAAAGAAAGAGTCTTCTAATTGCGTCTAATAGTAATCTAACTTCATATTCAGCTATTGGTTCAGCATTTTAAAGCAGTGTTTCTCAACCTCCGCATGTTCAGGCTCAGTGGATTTCAACTCCCAGAATTCCACCACTCTGGAGTCCACCCAGCTTAAATTTGTAGAGGTTGAGAAACACAGCTTTAAAAGATGACTCCAGACAGTAAAAAAAGGTTTTCTGTCTCTTGCTGTCTCCAGTTTGAAATTTAATATTGTTCATGCCTTTTGCCTAATTTCCACCAAGAACTAATGGTAAACCAGTCCTACATGAAGAAGCAAAAGCGAAGGAGAAAGGAGAACACTGTGTTCTCACAATTTTTTTTTTTTTTTTTTTGCTATCAACAGACAAACCCTACTTTTATTAAACTGAAATCATTCTGGTTGGTCACTTTTTTTGCCGTAGACATCAAAATTTAAGTTATGACTAAAGAAATATTCCTAACAGATCTGCAAATGAAAAAGTGCTATAGCCAAACTTTATAAACATATAAGCTTTATAGAGCAAAATTCTTGCTCAGAAATAAATTCAATAGATCTTAGTAAATCATAGTTACTCAAAGACAGATCTTGATAACATCAAAAGATTTACATATAGCTTCAGACATTGCTCAGTTTTTTCTCTCTCTCCTCTATCAACAGCAAGGGTAAATCACTCTAAAGTGCTCTGAATATTCTAAAGCACTCTGCAGATGTTAAATATCATTCTGACTCCCAAGTGTGGATAGACTTACTGTGCTACAAGCAGGAGATAACAGTGGCATGATAAAGTGAAGTCAGAGCGTCAGGTCTTGGAGTCACAGACTATCTAGGATAGGCAGTTTTATTCCCAGCATTGAGTTTTGAAGATAAAAATAGGTTCAGGCTCTTAGGGAAAACAGGACCTCTTTATTCCATACATTCTGATCTCAAGAAAAAAGTAGCATTTATGATACAACTGGCAAATAATCCAGGGGAGATTTCTCCTATGATTCAGTGGTTAAAGATGCTGAGCTTGTCAGCTAGAAAGCTGACAGCCCAGGTTTAAGACTTGAGTGCCACATGATGGGGTGAGCTCCCTTTACTTGCCCTACCTAGCAGTTCAAAAGCATGCAAATGCAAGTAGATAAATAGGAACCACTTCAATGGGAAGGTGTATTCCATGCACCTTGCTGTATACCCATATTGTCCTAAAGTGTCTTTGAACAATGCTGGCTCCTTTGCTTAAGAAATGGAGATCAGCACTGCCCCCCCTCCAGAGTCAGACAGGATGGATGGGGAAACATTTACCTTTAATAGTCCTAAAGCATAGAAAATCTTCTCAAATGACACAAAAGTCAGATCAAAAACAAGTACTTCATATCCATAGTCTATTACTCAAAACTATTTGGAGATTCCCCCTTCCCCCTTAAATGAGCATGGATGTGATTAATTATCAGTTGTCTGGGCTGATAATGCAAGTTATCAATGTCTGTGCTGTTTGAGGATCATGGGAGTTGTAGACTCATAAAACTAGAGGTCCAGATTTTGGAATATTCCTTTAACCATCTGGAGTATGGGTGAAAGTAAAATAGTTATGCTTTTGGGTACTTTTTCATCATGACATCATTCAAACATTGGATGCATCAAGAATCTCCTTTTTTACCTGACAATCAGATTCTAGGAGGGGGTGAGACTCACAATCAACAAGAACTATTGGGCATGTTTTTGTTACATTGATTTAAAAAAAAAAGCATTGAATGATAATTGTGGTCTACATTTAGAGAGTTGGGAGGCATACATACATTATACTATTACAAATGTAGATCTGGAGTTAAACCTTGAATTAAAGGTTGGTCTTACATCCTAAAAATGAATGGAAGGCATCGAATTGGTACCTGGAAATTAAAAGAATGCAGGATACATTTTGCTTCCCACTCAAAGCTGAATAAATCACTTTCCTTAGCCATATCTCAAATTATGACTGTTGAGGAGGTCCATAAAAGAAGAAGGTTAAATCGTTGAGATTCTTGAAACACATAATGGCCAACAATTTATTTTTTTTTAAAAAAAAGGACTCAAGAGGCCATCATGATGAAAAAACTTAATGCACTTTTCTTGCAAGGACTTGGCAAAAACCCTTAGCCTGCTTCTAGTAAGGCAGCAACAGAACCATATGAAATCATCAGAGAAGCTTGTCACTGCTGGCCACAATTCAGGATAGCTTTTTCTTGGAGTCTTCAGGAAGCACAGTGGAGCAGACCCAAAGCAGCCCAAGATGCCTCCTGAGCAAATCTCTCTCTCCCTCTCTCAGAAGTGTATACACGCAGTCATTTAAAATCCATTTAGGAAAATTGACTTTCCATTTCCATTTTAACACAGCACTAGGGAAAGCAGTAGGACATTTGTCATAATCCATTAACTGCTCTTTTGGAAACAGCAAATTAAACTCCAAACTAATCTCTGTGCGTGTGTTTGCGTGCACGCACGCATGTGCTCCTTAGTTTCTCTGCTCTCTATTGCTGCCAGGTGTCCCCCCGCTCCCCCTTAATTTCATTTTCAGCTCTATAATTTTCTCCGAACCTTACCAATTATACGGGGGGGGGGGCTGGTAATTGAGGCACACAATGTCCTCCCAGTGTGCCCTTGTGAAGCCCCCAAGTTGGTAAGAATGGAATGGTGAGAGCAAAAAGCTTAAATCCAGACAAGACAGTCTTATGATGAATGGGCTTTTCTGGAGCTAATTTGCAAATGCTTGCCCAAGATCATTATAAAGAATAAAATGCCCCCTTCAATGCAGGTCCCAGAGCTAATAGAGATAAAGTGGTTGTTACTGTTTATTCGTCGAATTGGGCTATGGTTTGAATAGAAGCAAAATCATCATCATCATCATCATCATCATCTCAGTAGGGCAGTATTTTCCCCCTCTATTGTCTTTCACTCTCAATTTGTAAAATTACAGTATCTTGTTATGTTCTCCAGTTGGTTTTCATCAATTCAGATGTCTCCAGAAGTTGACACATCAGTAACCCTTACCTTGCTACCCAGAATAGTAATGGTGGTATATTATGCTCTAAGTGCCTATGAGTTTGAATTCTGAAACAAAACCAAATTTTGATCTCTGCATGTGATACCAGTAGTGTTTGCATATATGGCAGTAAAGTCAACTTTTTGATTTAAAAGTGGACAATTTTTGCAACTCTTGTCAGTATTGTTTGAGCGACTTTATTACAATTCCAGTATATTGATCCACAGTTTCATTTTTGATTTCCTATTAAATGCTTGGTGCATTGCCAAAAGGATTCACTTAATATTTAGACATTTTGAACTCTTCGGGCTTAATCTTGGAAAAGAACACTCTAGTTGGAACAAATATTTTATAGCAACCCCACCTTGAATCCAAGGTCTTCTGCTTGAATCAAAATAAATGAAATAATGTGCTTGAGGTGGAAAGAAATGAAATTTTGATTCTGGGCTTTACCAGTTAGATAGATTTGATATTATTGAAATAGCTAGTTTATATTATTTTGTAAAAGTAAGAAGTTGAGGTTTGAAGCTGATGTTCTATTGCATCAAAGGAAGTCGGAAGTCAATCTCTTTCCTCCCCTTTTTTCTCTCTTACCTCACTTCTCTACTCCCTTTTCCCTTCCCCATCTTTTCCACTATTTACTTTGTATTTTGATTGTATCATATATTATAAACTAATAAAACTTTGTACAGAGGAAAAAACAATTACTAAAATAAATGAAATAAGCATCTGTGATATTAATTTGGTCAAACAGAATAAGAATACAGAAGTCAAACACACACAAACACCCACATGGACAAAATCCTTCCTTTTAATTTTTTGTTCATTTTATGTAGTACTACCTTCCTCTGGGTCAAGGGTTGGCAATTATGATAACTTTATGACCTGTTGACTTCAACTGGCTCATGAATTCTGTGAGTTGAAGTCCACAGGTTATAAAGTTGTGATAGTTGTCTATCCCTGGTCTGGGCAATGTTCTGCTCCAGGAGAGAATGACATGTAAAGGATATGGTAGCTTAGCAGTTAAGATGCTGGGCTTGTCAACTAAAGGATAGGCAGTTTGAGACCCATGTACCACGTCAATCTAGCAGTTTGAAAGTATGCAATTGCAAGTAGATATATAGGGACCACTTCAATGGGAAGGCAATAATGTTCTGTGTACCTTAGCAAATAGTCATGCTGACCACATGACCACAGAAGCATTTTCAGACAATGCTGGTTCCCTTGGCTAGGAAACAGAGATGAGCACCAATCCCTAAATAGGACATGACTGGACAGGGGAAACCATTAACTTTTTATAACAAGTGAACCAACCCAGGAAAAAACTATGTTTCAATTATTCTGCACAAAAAAATGGGGAAGGTATACGATTTTCTCCCTGACAGGGATTGCCACTGCTGCAGTGATAGTGACAGAATAGCTGTTATCTGGCACTCTAAGTTCACTCTGTGAAATGGAACCCATTACACCAGGGGTGGAGAACCTTGGCTCTTTTATGACTTGTGGACTTCAACTCCCAGAATTCCTGAGCCAGTATGGCTGGCTCAGGAATTCTGGGAGTTGAAGTCCACAAGTCATAAAAAAGGCAAGTTTCCCCACCCCTGCATTACACTGTACATGGAGAAAAAGTTGGTTGAAATATTGTACTCTCAAGGTAAGCACTGAGCACTAGGGAGGCAAAATTCAACTCAACCCCAAAAGCTGGTAATACATATCCCTCTCTATCTACCATCTCCCTGACAGGAAGGCAGAAACACAGATAAGGCACATAAATATTGATTGCTCTCTCCACTGCCTCTCATTCATCTGCCTGTGGAAAAAAAGCATTTATGTTCCATGCTTGAGCTGCAGGCTGTTTTTATGACTTTGTTTTACAGCTTTAATGCCAGGATCATTTATAAAGCAGGTTTGTATATAAAGAATGTAAACATTAGAAATCCATTAGTCTCTTAAAGTGTGTC